TCATTTGATCTCATAACAACCCTGTGAGGTAGGTACTATTATTATCCTCATTTACAGATAGAAATAATACTAATGGCTAACATTCTAGGGGTGCTTACTATGTGCCAGTTACTCTGCTAAGTGTTTTACAATTATTATCTCACTTGATGCTTAGAAGAACCCTGGCGAGTAAGTGCTATTTTTATCCCCATTTTACATACGAGGAAAACTGAGGCAAGCAGAAGTTAACTGATATGCCCAGAGTTACCCACCTAGAGAGCGTCTGAAGTAGTATTGGAACTCAAATCTTCATTTCTCCAAGTCCTAGACAATAGCTGCTATGCCACCCAGCTGCCTCTGGGATCATGTACTAAGATTTGTTGTGAGTCCTGTAGGCTTAGAACTCAGACTAATGGCTGTTACAAGTTCTCACTCGGATATTTCTACCTCCATTACTCAAGCAGGGAGAGCTTCATCTGCAGTACCCACTCAGTTTCTGACAGCACCGTACTCAGTAGGTCTGCTCAGTATAGGGCCGGGCATAGCTCCAACTGCCACAGATGTAACCGCCCTGCTCACAGACTGCATTGTTGGCTGACTCTAATTTTGGATGAAGTCTACAGTCAATTACACACAGAACCCTTTTGCCTATGGAAATAAGATGGCTGGGCCCGAGGGGTAAAGTGCGGGCTTGGACACTCGGTGCTCATTTGTGGATCCAAAGGACAGTGGAAATTTGGCAGCATCAGAAATAATCTAAGGAAAAACCACATCTCAACATTTAGCTATGTTTAGTATCATTTTCCCAAATCAGAAGAGGATGGGGATTCAGAGCCTGGGGTCTGGGAACTTGTATTTTCCCCCCTATCTTGATAACTGTATTTCAATATACTTGCTTTCCCTTGTAATACTCTTTTTAAATTTAAAAGCATTATTCTAAGAAGGAGTTCATAGACTTCACCGGGCTGTCAAAGGGGTCTATGGCAAAAAAAAACAAAGTTAAGAGCTCCTGACAGAGGATATGTGTCTATGAAATTTAAGATTTTTGCTATTTTTAGTTCATCTGAACATTACGGGGAGGGGGAAAGGCAAGGAAACTGTAGAAGAAGCCTGAGAGACACAGATTTTTCCCTTTTCTATGTTCCTTACTACCTTGCTATGTGACTCTCTGAGCTGCCTTCTCATCTCTATAAAGAGGAAGTCAAGGTTAAGATGTCTTTCAGTTCTAACAATATATACATTTTTAGTTGTCTCTCATCAAACGGAAATTGTTTATGAATGTGTGTATTTTTTTTGTTGCATTGTATACTGCCCTCTGAATGTGGGCATGTGTAGAGTTGGGAACATTAAAGGGTGGGAGTTAGGTGGGTGCAAATGAAAGCAGAATTCTAGAAATTTTAGAATCTGTCAACTTTTTGCTAAGGAAATCTAAATTTGTCCCTTTGGATATCATCCTGCCCAGCTGCTAGCACAAAGCCTGGGAGATGACCATTTTCCCCCTTTAACCACGACCTCAGGAAGCAGAGAAGATGATCCAGATTAAGAAGAGAGAGGAAGACCTTGAGGGAAGATAGTTGTGAGAAAAGGAGAAAGAATCTGTAAGCACCTAAGTATTCTGTCCTTGTAGGAAGAGGAAGTTACTGAGCTATACCTGGGAGGACCCATGTGCTAGGAGACTCTGAACTTGGGTTACTCCTTAGAGGCAAGGATTGTGCTATTTTTTTCTCTTCATATCCCCAACATTGAGCATAGTGAGCATCCTTTTAAATAATAGGAGTCAGGAAGACCCGAGTTCAAATCCGACCTCAGACGTTTATCAGCTGTGTGACCCTGGGCAAGTCACTGAAACTTGTTTGCCTCAGTTTCCTTATCTGTAAAATAATTTGGAGAAGGAAATGGCAAACCACTCCAGTATCTTAGCCAGGAAACCCCAAATGGGGTCATGAAGAGTTGGACACAACTGAAAAATAACTGAACAACAACAAAGAAGAAATGGTTGTTGAATTTGATTTGAATTTTTTTTTTGGTAGTGGTGAGGGGTTAAGGTTAGGGTAACCCTCCTGAGAGTTAAGGAAACTGGTTTATGGGTTTGGAAACCAAGTTCCTGAGTTCAAATCACAGCTCTGCTGCTTACTTCCTGTGTGACCTTGGGCTGTTCACTTATGCCTACTGGCCTCCAGTTCTTCAAAACAAGGGGGTTGTACTATACTCCTCCATCTTTAAATCTGGGTTTTTACTAATCCATTCACAATCTTTCCCCTTTACAGCAGAGTCTTTGTAAGATTGATAGCTATGGTTAGGGGATGAGATTAATATCCTTGGAACACAGCAAAACTAATGGGCCATATTGGGGATCAATCTATAATCTTCAACGCAATTGTAACCCAATGCCAATTAAAGTACTACTGTGAGATAATTGTGTCCTTAATGGAATCTCAGTCATTGCCTCTTTTCTTGCTAGTATCGAGGTTCCATGTTTCAGAAGAAATCAGCTTTCTTTTTTTTCCTATTTGCCTGGCACATTTTATTTTAAAAGCTACAAAAACCTTCTTCAGGAAGATCATTTGAAAGGAGTTCCTCTCTAGTTCACCATCCACAGAAACATTCTTATCCCAACCTCTTGTGGGCCCCCAACACTGCTTCACCTTTAGGAACACTGGGTGATGCCAGTTTTCTTAAACCAAACAATCTCTGTCCTCTTAAAACAAAGTGAGGAGAGGGGAAATTTGGGATGAAATCTGATCCTGAGGAAAAGAGAATATGGCAGAGAGAAATGAACTAGGCAGAAAGACCAGAGAGTGAAATCATTTAGATTCTATCAAAGAAATGCTCAACTTATTTTACATACTGGGCTTTTACAGGGATCTGTGCTGATTAGGGAACATGGCAAAGGCTTAACTAGTAGCAAAGGGGAATTAGTGTTTAAATGAGCTTCACAACCTAGGTAGTGTTAAATAAAAGTAAGTATTTGAAAATTTTTGCCTTTAATTCTCTATTGCTTCTTCTTGAAAAAAAAAAGGTTCTTTTGAAAATGAGAAAGCAAGCAAGCCAAATACGACTTTACACTTGGTAAACCTGGTCGTCTCAAAACAACACATGCCCCTTCAAATGCCCATATGTGCCAGGCACACTTTCTAGGCTGCTAGTCTAGCTTGGCATTGGAACTATTGTAATTGATGTATCACATTTATAATGGCAGGGCAGTTTGCAGTGACCTCATTCTCCTTAGTTATCTCTCCCTCTGTGAGGTAACTACCCCATTTTATATATCAGGTTCCTGGGGGTGGGGGTGGGAAGTGGCCACACAGCAGAGGTGAAGCAGAGGGCCACTCACAAGGCGTCTTCTGATTTTCTACTATGACACCCTCCAAAGTCTCTGGTGTATAGGATCATAGGATTTAGAGTTTAGAAGTCATCTAATTAGTCCTACCCTGGCTTGCATTTTACAAATGAAGAAACCCAGAACCAGACATGTAAAGGGACTTGCCCAAGGTCACAGATGAAAGACAAATAATAGGTAGCAGATGTGGAATTCAAAACCAGGTCTTCTGATTCCTAAATAGACCAAGCATCTAGGCTCTCATTCATTAGTTCCAATGGGGCCAGATTGGTATTCTGATATTCACAAATGAAGTGATAAAATTCTTGCTTTTTACAGAAACTAAAGCAGCCCACTGTGCCATGGGAGTCTTGGCAAGGTCATACAGTGTGTTGGAGAAAGCAGGGACTAAAACACCCCAAAAAGCCCATCCAAACTCCGGAGGGATTTGAGCAAGGTATTTTATGTAGAATGTACATTTGCTGCTACTCCTGACATACTCCGATTATACCGGTGCTGCAGCAGCCAGGACATTGATTGACTCCATCCCCCAGAGTGAATGGACTCTGTCCACCCTGCCTGTTAGAACAGACCTAATAACCACTGACCAGGGTAGCTGAGCTGCAGTCTGCCTTCTTCCTTTCTTTTCAGAGGAATCGAATTACTATGACATGCAATTCAATCCCTTACAACAGAAGGGAATGGTGAGTTGTGGAACAATTTCCCACACTTCCCTGCTCATGTGGCCCTTTAGGTAGCTAGTTTCCTAGGCCACTGTGCATTCAACTGAGCTGAACTGCTAGAAATAAACTAGAATGTTACTGCTGGAAGATTCCTTAGGGACTTTAATATCAACCCCCTTTATTTTGAAGATGAGAAGACATGTGACTCTGGGCAAGTCATTCACCCTCTCTCGGCCTCAGTTTCTTTACTGTCAAAGCTTACAGAGATGAACCAAATTGTCTAAGGCCACACAGCAGAGGTAAAGCAGAGGGCCAGCCACAAGGCTCCTTCCTGGCTCTACTGACACCCTCCCAGGTCTCCCGTATACAGGATCATAGGATTTAGAGTGTAGAAGTCATCTCATTAGTTCTACCCTTGCTTGCATTTTTACAAATGAAGGAACCCAGACCCAGAGATGTAAAGGGACTTGCCCGAGGTCGCACAGGTGAAAGACAAATAATAGGTAGCTGACGTGGAATTTGAATCCGAGTCTTCCGATTCCAGAATCTCAGCACCTGCCCAGTTGGCTCTAAAAGTCGGTGTGGACAGGTGAATCTATAAGTGGGTTGCTTTTGCAGGCGGCTCTGAGGGTTCAGGTGCAGAGCAGAGGCGGGGCAGGGAAAGGGGGGGGGTGCCACAGACGCCCGTTGCCAGGGGTGGGGCAGAGGAAGCCCTATAAGTGCCCTTCTCGGATCCGAGCTAGGGTCCCCGACCTCAGCGGACCATCCCTCTTGGGCTGGCCTCGCGGGCAGTCGAAGAGGCTGCTCCGCCGGGCAGCCCCAATGAGAGTGCCCTCCCCCGGGTGGGTGGGGCGGGGCCACCTGGGCGGGCGGGGGGAGGGGGCGGCGGGGGCGGGGGCTGGGGTGGGAGCCGCCTCCGATCCCAGGCCCCTCCCTCCCCCCCTCCCCGGCCCCCAGCCTCCGGCTGGGCTCTGCCAGCTGAGAGCCCGGGGCTCGGGGCTCAGAGGCTGCGCTGTCACATGGGCGGCGGCGGCGGGGCCGCATTTAAGCGGCTGGGGGACGGCGCCCGCCTCCAGCGCGTCCTCTGGCTCGGCTCCCGCCGGGCGCCCCGGGCTCCGCCTGCGGGGGGTCCGCGCCGCGCCGCCCCCGCCCCCGCCGGGCCATGCGAGCGCGGGCACCGCCGCGATGAGCTCGTCCATTGCCAAGAGCGAGTCCAAAACGTCGCTGCTGAAGGCGGCGGCGGCGGCGGCGGCGGCGGGCGGGGGCAGCCGGGCTCCCCAACGCTCGGCGGTGGCGGCGGGCGCGGAGCCCCGCCAGGGCC